TCTTGACTATTCAGCTTGTATTTTATTTTCTGATTTTTTTTGCCAATATGTAAGACAGAGCATTTATTTGTTGAGATTTATGGAAGTCGTTAAGCAGGACCACGATCAAATGTGACAAACTTTGGTTTTTGGTGGTCGCTAAGCGGGGCCGCTAACCCCACTGTGCCAAGAAACGAATGCCTCCGCCAAGAAGCAAACCTAGCCCTCCCCTTCTGACCCTAACTGAGCCCGGCATTAGGACCCACCCGTGGTGGAGGTCATTAAGCAGGTCCCTCCAAGACCAGGGATCCAGTTTGCAAACTTGGCTCGCCCAACGAGACACCGCCCGTGCCAGCCTCCCTTCCCAGCCCAGGAGGCGGCGCGTTCCCAGCCTGGGTGAAATATCCCAAGTCCCGGGGAGGCGGGAAGGGGCAGAGCCGGCTTCTTCCCCACCGCAAGGCCACCTAGCCCGCAGGGTAGACTTGCAAAAGCGCCCTTGCCAAGGAGAGAGGGGAGAGGAGAGGCGGCCGCTGCCTCCGGCCCCGCGCCGAGCAAGGAAGCGAGCCGCCCTTCAGCCCCGCTGGGGCCCTTCTCCGCCCTGACATGACCTCCAGGCCCTGGCGGGAGGCTGCCACGCTGCTCCTGGCGGCGGGCAGCGGCGGCGGGCGGCCTCCGCGTCCCTCCGCCTTCGACTACCAGGTGCTGCTGCTGCAGCGGAGCGCCCGGAGCGCCTTCCTGCCCTGCGCCCAAGTCTTCCCGGGCGGCGTGGCGGAGGCCGCCGACTTCTCGCCCGCCTGGCGGGAGCTGCTGCCCGAGGGGCCGCGCTGCGGGCTGGGCGCCGAGCCGCCCGCCCGGCCTCCGCTCTTCACCGCCCGCCGCCGGCCCGAACTGGGCGAAGATGCCTTGCCGGCCGACGTGGCCTTCCGCATCTGCGCCATCCGGGAGACCTTCGAGGAGAGCGGGCTGCTCCTGGCGGTGCCGGCCGGGAGGGACGGGGGCCCGGCGGCTCCCGCTCTGCTGCCCACCGAGCTGCTGCAGCGGCTTCTGCCGGCCGGCCAGCTGGAGGAGTGGCGGCGGCGGGTGCAAGGCGACCCGGGCAGCTTCCTGCAGCTCTGCCGCCGCCTGGGCTGCGCGCCCCACTTGCGGGCGCTGCACGAGTGGGGCAACTGGCTGACCCCCGTGGGGCGAAGCGGGCCGGCCGGCCGCCGTTACGACACCGCCTTCTACCTGTGTTGCTGCTTCGGGCAGGAGCCGCCCGCCGCCTCGCACGACCGGCAGGAGGTGGCCGATTGCAGGGTGAGGAGGAGGAGGAGGAGGAGGGCCCGGGAAAGGCAACTTGGAACGGTTTGCAAAGCCCGGGGCTCTGGGCGGGCTGCAAGCAGAGACTGGGCATAGAGAGGGGACTCCTCGACTTACAACGGTCCGTTTAGTGACGGTTCGAAGTTACAAGGGCACTGAAAAAGGGGGCTTGGGACAGGGACCCCCCTTTGGGCACCAGGGACTGGTTCCACGGAAAGAGGTTTCCCATGGACCAGAGGGGGGGTATGGTTTCACATGCTGCCTGCATCCCATAGATGGGGCTTCGCTTGGTTGCATGACCTGGCATGCAGCGGTCCAGTGCTGGGCCAGGAATACGGGGTTGGAGACCCCTAACTTAGGCCCATTTTTCACCTGACCGTTACATCATCCCCATGGTCATTTGATCCAAATTCAGACACTTGGACAACTGACTTACAGTTATGACGGTTGCAGCGTCCTAGGGTGGTGTGATCTCCTTTTGCGACTTTTTTTTGCAAGCCAAGTTAAGAAGGGGAAGCCAGGTTAACCAAAACATTAACTTACTGAATAACTGCCGTGGTTCACTTAATAACGGTGACAAGGAAGTTCATAAAAGGGGGCCAAATTCACTGAACAAATGTTTTGTTTAGTGACAGAAATATCGGCCTCGGTTGTGGCTGTAAGTTGAGGACTACTTTTACTTGCTTCCAGAAACCTCGTTTGCATCCTGGGTTGGCAGGAGGAATGGGAAAGGGAATCCTAAACTACTATTGTGAACTTCAACTCCCAGAATTTCCCAGCCAGCATGGGGTAGATTTCCACTTATGACCATAATTGAGCCCAGGATTATGGTCATAAATTGTGGAGGTCATTCAGCAAATTGACCATGATCTATTTTACATTTTTTTTTTTGTAGTGGTGGCGAAATGAACAAAATTGGGCAAATTTGTTTGTGCTTTACCTCTGCTCCCTTTTATTGAGGGAGAGACCAATATGATAACGGTAAAGATAAAGGTTTGTCCTGCCCAGTTTTGTCTGAGTCTAGGGGGAGAAGCTCATTTCCATTTCTGGGAGGGGGGGAGAGCAGCCAGTGGTTACACAAGATGCTTCCATGGTCATGTGGCCAGTATGACTATACTCCAAGGTGCACAGAATACTGCTACCTTCCACTGAAACGAATAGCTATTTATCTACTAGCATTTGCATGCTTTCAAAAGAGCATAGGAGCATAGGCTAGGAGCTGGAGCACATAATGGGAGTTCATCCCTTCACACTCAAGTCTCGAACAAACAGGATAAAACAGTCACTGAAAGCACCAGAATCCCTTCTACAGAATATCCCTTTAATTGGGAAATGACATGGCTTGGAGATTGATTTTAATGCTTCATTCTTTTTCAGTGGTCAACCCCTTTAGAAGCTGTTGAACTTTTTAACTCAGGAGAAATCTGGATAGCACCACCGCAGCTTTATGAGTTATGTAGGCTCTGCCATTTTTCATCCCTTCATGATCTGGAGAGGTTTAGCTCAGAACGAGCTTTAGAAGGTTGTGAACGCTGGATGTCAGTTACGTTGATGGCTTCAGATGGCCACATGCAATTGTTGCCAGGTAGGTAAAAATGAAGGACTCTGGTTTATTGATGCACTGAACACTAAACAGAAGCCGCAACGTGAATCTACCTGTCTGAATAAGTGGCTTGCTGGGGTCATATGCCAAAAAGTGCTTAAGGCAAAAGCTAAATAATGAAATTAAAATTTCCTGATGTAAATTTCACCTAGTACACTTAGTAGGATTAATGAGCAGATATTCATTAGTCTTTTGTTATATGGAACATACAGTATACTCAACTATAATGCTACGTACTTGGTTGTAGAAGTGCTGTGTACTGTGAAAGCAGTAATCGTGGTTTGTAAATCTTGGATCATTGCTTAACATGTTTATGAACCCAGTAAATAAAAAGTACAATTTGATTGCATTCGTATTTTCCTGTGCATCTCTACTTTAATACTTCTGCTCTTGGTATGTTGAGACACAAACCTCTATTAAAAATAGTGTCTCCTAGTCAATATTTTGTCACAACTTTTCATACCACCATTTAGACTGAAGGTAATGTTAGTATCAAAAATTCATATTTATACCTGTAACTCTGCATATAACTGAGAGAAATAATTATATTTTAGGTGACGATTTATATCCCAAAGATCCTGATTTTACTGGCAAAAGGAAATCTGTGTTGACCACAAATAAAAACATTGAAGAACTAATGAAAGAAGCAAGAAACCATCACCGGATAGTAATACGAAGCCGTAATAATACAACTATCCACATGAATATTGAATCTAAATATAAACATATAAATCCAGTTAGACTGGACTCTAAAATGTGAAATAACGTGGATTGCACCAGTCAGTTGTATTTCTCATACTGGAATTACTAAATTTTGAGAGATGTTGGAATAACAATGAATTACCATAATAGCACTGTGCCATTTTTGTGGACATACCTCAATATTAATGTAAATTATTTAGATTTCAAGTTGTGTTGATCAGTGTAATTATTCTTGTTATGCAAATGTGCCAATTCTGGAATAGAGACCTATCTTCTAAGAACCCGAATTTAATTTACTTGTTTGTTTACTTGTATGTTATAGCTATACTGATATATCCTTAAAAAAAATTTAAGGTGGTTTGCAACTTCATTATCATTCAGTACTGTAAACAAAAGACTATCACATTATATTTTAATACATTTGAATTATTATTACAGTTATTATAAGTGATAAGTAGGCATCCAGAGTACATGGATTTGGGTCATGGCAGCGATTGCTTGCCTTGATGCTGATTTCAGAATAGTGGGTATGACTATTCTGGGTAGTCATACCCAGAATAGGGTATGAATGAAGCTCCACCCCTTTTCAATATGCTTTTAGTGCATGCAGCACACATTAAAAGGAACAGAACTTTGGTCATCCAGGTGCATCTGCTGTTTTAAAGGCAGTGACCATTCCTGCAGGTGCCGCTGTTGACCAATAGGTCATTTGCCAAAATTGAAAAGAACTGAACAATTTGAATGTATGTAACAATATATTTTTCTCTACCTGGAAATCATATTCAAAATAAGTGCATTGCAGACTGTAAATGCATATATTCAGAACTACTTCTGGGAAGCACTTAAATGCCATTAAAGGCCTGGACGTCTGTTCTTATTTGTTTGTTTGTTTTTTTATATAAATTTTTATTGGTTTCTAAAACAAACATAAACAAAACATAAAAACATCAAATCATCTTCCATATATGTACATACAGTGTGCCGGTTGGTTTACAAATTGTTTTGTGCTTCCATTTCATAGTCTTCAATTATAATTACATTGTATATAATCTCGTATTTTCAATCAATATATTAAATACATTAATATCATTATTAATCAATCATTTGACTATACTTTTATTCATTCATGTTTTCCAAAATGATCATTTTTAATGGTTCTTTTATTCTTGCTAAATTAAATAAATACTTTTAGCAGTATTTTTCATGGTTCTTTTATTCTTGCTAAATTAAATAAATACTTTTAGCGGTATTTTTCATGGTTCTTTTATTATTGCTAAATGTCCCACAAATGGTCATTTCTCCTCAAATACTATAGGTTTAGAACTAGCTGGATTTTTATTTTTTTTAATATATCTGGGTGAAAACTCAAGACTGTGCAAGACAAGTCATTTCACCCAGGGCCATAAAACATTGAAAATGTTTCTTAGCCATATATAAAGCAGGGGTCTTCCAACTTGACAGCTTTAAGACTTGTGGACTTCAACTCCCAGAATCCCTCCTCCAGTCATGTTAGCTCAGGAATTCTGGGAGTTGAAGTCCACAAGTCTTAAACTTGCCAGGTTTGAAGACCTTTGATCTAAAGGATCAGATGCCTTCTTTTCCCATAATTAGTGCCCAGTGAATCCAATAAAACATGGGAATCCAGTAACAAACAGAAATCCAATAAAACATGCCAAACAATCAATGGGGCCTATGTGTGTGTGTGTGGTGTGTATGTATGTATGTATGTATGTATACACATACACATACACACACACACATATATTTAACCCATGGTTTTTCAGGTAGCTTTGGGTTGTGGCTGCAATGGGTTGCTCCTGTCTCCCTTTTTATACGTTTTTAAAGGTTTAGTCAATCAATTTCAATAGAATGGAATGTGTTAGCTTATTATAATCCTTCCTAGTCAATCAGTATGAACATCTTCCTCGTATGCAATCCTTCCTTCTTTTCATATGCTTAAAACGGACGTTTCCTTATCTAAAATTACATGAATGGAATAGAATAGAATCTGGAAGGGACTCCGGGGTCTTTTAGTCCTACCTCCTGCTCAAGCAGGAGAACCTATACCATTTCAGGTAAATGACTGTCTAGTCTCTTCTTAAAAACCTCCAGTGTTGGATCTGAAGGCAACTTCTGTTCCATTGGTTGACTGTCCTTACTGTTAGGAAATTTCTCCTTAATTCCAGATTGCTTCTCCCTTTGATCAGTTTCCAACCATTGTTTCTTGTCCTGCCCTGTTTCTATATGTCTATACATATATCTTCCTATGCATAAGATGTATGTTTTCCTTTACATCAATTTTGCCGTGTATTTTATTTACAACGGCAGCAACCATCCCTTTCTCTCCCCCCCCCCAACCTTTGAGAAATAAAAAGATACATACACAGAAACAAAACTTCCGGTTCTGCGCAGACGGGCCGCGCGCTGGCCAAAACCCGACGGCAGAACTGGGGGGCGCTGCTGCGCATGCGTCGCCGCCGCGGTCCCGCCCCCTGAGGCAAGACGGAGCTTGCGTCAGGCCGCGTCGTCGCGGAGGGCGCAAGTGAGCATGCGCGGGTGGGTTCGAATGGCGCCTTTGGCGGGAGCCTCGTGCGTGGAGCGGGGTGGGGGGGAAAGGGAGTCTTGGCTGTTGAGGAAGCCGCGGAGGGTCGGGCGGAGGGAGTGGAGGCCTCAGGCCCTGGCCGTTGTCTCCCGGCAAGTCGCCCCCGTCCTTCCCAAACGGGAGGAATCCCCTTAGGTTAAAAGCCAGCGTCTAGGTAGCCCTTGCATAGGTGGTAGTGGTGATGGTGGTGGATGGGAGGGCAATAATAATAATAATAATAACGAGGATGAGGATAATAATAATGATAATAATATAATAACGAGGATGAGGATGATAATAAAATAATAAAACAATAATGAGGATAATAATATAATAATAACGAGGATGAGGATGATAATAAAATAATAATAATGATAATGATGATGACAGGTTTTGTATGTTGGTTTTCAGCCCAGTGAGGTTCTTGTCATGGATGAAGGACTTAAAAATCTGACTTCTTCATATTAAAACCATGATTTTTTAAAAAATCGTAAACCTAAATCCTACATGCTTCGTGGCATTTGCTTATTTAATAGTCTAAATGTGGGAGGCGTCCAATTGGCATCACTCTTCAGAAGGAAGTGCCTTTTTTTAGGATGGGCTCCTTCAATTCAAATTTATTTTCCCAATTTCCCACTAGCTGCCTGCTCTGGATTCCCCCGGGTTTCCTTTGCTTTATTGTAATTTCATTCCGTTTTTAATATTTATTTCCCTGATTTCCCAATTAGCCCTCTGTTCTGGATTTTCCAGAGAGCTCACCCGTCCCAATTCTGGATAGCACTTCACCCCCACACAGCCCAGTTCTGAACAGCTGTAATTGAAATGGGGAAACTAAGTTCCTTGGAAAGAAAAAAAGCAGTTTAAGGATTTGGGAATAGCTATATCTATTTGGAGGGGGAAGACTTGCAGGGGCCAGTTGAACAGTATTGTGAAGTAAACACTTTTTTAAAAAACAGAATTGGGGGAGCTGCATTTTCAATGATAAATACTACAAGATTGATGGGTTTTTTTAATAAAAAAACTTTATCACTTCAAAATGCAGAAAAGGATGCCGCTAGCTATTAGCAGCTGTGATTAAAGGTAGGTCTGACATAAAAGAAATTGGACTGCAAGTTGCTCACCTAGGAAAACAGCTGGCTCAAATTCTCAAATTGAGAAATCCATTTGCTGTGCTGACAAGATAGATTTACAGTTTTATGTTGCAATTCTGTCAATAGACACTCTAATACTATTGGCAGTTTTCGTATCTGCTAAACCATTCTTTTGTTAGTATGCCTTGCAGAATAAATCACAACTAGATTGCAATTTCAAACTACTATTTTGTTAATCATGTCTTGCAAAATAAATTGCAAATGCCGTTGTAATTTCAAACTAAACCGTAAATCATGGTTAATAGCCAAATGGCTTGGTTTATTATATTAAGTAATGTGCTTTTGATGAGGGGTGTGTGTGTGTGTGTATGTGTGTTGGCTTAGAATGAGTTATGAATGAACCCACTGTGGTGTAGTGGTTTACACCAGGGGTCCCCAACCCTTGCGCCATGAACCAGCAAGGTTCCGCAGCATGCAAGAAATTGGACCGCACAAACAAGCGAAGCCCCATCCATGAGATGCAACATAAAAAAGCCATGCCCCCTCCAGTCCATGGAAAAACCTACCTCCATAGAACTGGTCCCCAAAAGGTTGGAGGCCGTTGGTTTACACCATTTAGGATATTGAGAGTTTCAGGTGTCCTGTTTGATTTTGTATCAACTAGATTTAGGGGGCCCTACCAGCAAAACTGTTGAAATTATTCTGGTATCTCTTTTCTGTTAATTTTTTCAAGTCGTATTGAAATTTTATGTATGCTTTTCTAAAATTGTGTCCTGGTCATTTCAGCTTCAAAATCACTTCAGGAATATTTTCATATGGAGTTTGATGGATGATCTGTTGCATTTTTAGAGGTGCAGATAAAGCTTGCAATTCTCCTTAAATGAAAAAAATCATTGGAGGAAAAAAATGATTGAAGTCATAATACTGAAGGTATCGTGATTAACTTTCTGTATATTAAAATACATTTGGGGCGATGTGAACGTATTTTAATATGGGTTTCATTATACTTATTTAGATTGAAAATCCAGATTGCTTTTGGGTCTACATAATAGGAGGCAGAAAAATTGTAGTCAATGAAATGGAATATGAAACACTTCAGACTGAAATGAATCAATTCTATAACAAACATTATCGATGTGTGGATGCCAAGCCTTGTGCACTGGAAGAGGGACAGGTGATTTTAATCTGATTTGTTTGGCTATATCTGGGAGAAAAACGAAACTTCCTTCCTTCCTATTTGTTGTTTATATGTTTAAAGATAGCAAACCTTCTAAAATACTTAAATGCAGTGCATTCATAATAATAATAATAAATATTAGACAATTCTGGAATCTTTCATCATAGCAATGGCTTAGTGAGGTGGTAAGGTAAGGGTTAAGAAAGCTTTTCTGATGGTGAGAGAAAGAGAATATTAAAAGGTTATACTTGTTAATATTAGGACACAAGATTTGCTTTTTATGACAGTGATGAAAATACATCGTACTGTCTTTTAATCTTGGATAGAAAACATGGAAATAGGCACATCTTTTGCAAAATCCATATGCTAGATAATATTTAAATAATTGATTTTGGCATGAAAGCCAGCTGAGTGACTGGGCCACTCATGTTCCCTGAACCCATGATCAGGTCCTACGACAAGCCAGTAGATACATTTCTGTTGCAACCAATGGTTCAATGCTTGCAGACACTGCATTTGTGGAAAAATACTAGGAAGAAGAAAATGTAAATAAGTAATTTAAATATCTATTGAAGAATGCCTGAAAAAAACATAGAAATCTCTGATTCTTGTCTGATATGTATTCTATCACACATGTATTTACTCTGCCAATTATCTGTTATCAAACAAACAACATAGATTGTATAACATTAAACATTCATATACCTTTCTTAGGTTTGTGCTGTTTACTGTGAGGAACTGAAATCTTGGTGCAGAGCTGTTGTTAATTCAATCATATCATACACGGATTATTACATTGCAGAATGTTTCCTTGTGGACTATGCCAAAACTATTCCTGTGAACACTGAAAAGTATGTGTTTATAATCTGTAAAGTCATTCAGTAAAGGATTGGACCAAGAATTGAAACATTTTGTCATAATGTTACCTGTCTGCCCAATCATATGGGCAATGGCCCTGCTGTGTTGGTTTGATCCAACTGATACGTTAGTATAAGACTATAGGCATAGCTGGACATTTTTGGATTCATTCAAAGCCTAGGATTCGTTTAGAAAATTTGGGTTGACTGGTTAGTAAATTTAAAAACTGAGAACAGAAATAGATTTGTCATAAGGTTCTGAAGAATATAAGTTTATGCTCATTTTCAGGTCACTTTACTGGTTTTGCCTGTAAAGCAACAGCACTTTCCTGTAAATAGAAGTTATTATAATCTGAAGTTTGAACACTAAATCTACTGGTATGAAAATTATTGGTAGAAATTTGTAATTGTGTGTTGTGAAACCTATTTTCTTTCAGGATCTGTGTGGTCGTAAAATCATTTGTGAGGCTGCCTTATAGAGCTACAAAGTTTAGGTTGTACTGTGTCAAACCAGTAACACTACGTGTCAACTATTACAATGACAATTCTGAGATAGTGTAAGTATGGCTGCTGAGAGATGAAGTTAAATATTCTAAGAAAAACCTTCCACTAACTTCAGAGAGGATCTTTTCTGCATAACTGTTAGGTGACTTTGAGCCAGTCCCTCTCTCTCAGTCAAATTCTCCCCACAGAGTGGTAGTTGTGGGGAAAATAGAAGGAAATGTATTACTGCCTTGACTTGTTTATAAAAGTAATAAAGGTGGGATGAAAATAAATCAGTAAAAATAACTTTATAGTCAACTTATTGTTTTATACCTGCTTGTACAAATTCCATTTGCCGGATTTTTGTATGTTTCCTTTTATTTTGCTGCAGTGTAATACATTAAAAAGCTTCTTGTGTTTCTTTCTAGGCCTGCTAACAAATGGGATATTGCAGCAATCCAGTACTTCCAAAACCTCCTGAATGGTAAAAAAAAAAACTAGAATAACCTCTTACATAATTTCAGTTTTTTGACAAGCCTATTTTATAAAATTTTCATAAAATAATGGACTTAGGAGACTTATATTTAAATTGAGAGTTGTATAGAATTCATCTTAGCAGCAACGCACATTCTTCTTTTTAACTGTAAACAAGCAAATGTCCCAAAGATGTTTTTTTTTTTTTTCAAGAGGCAGCTGGACTTCTGGTTTTCTTTTAAGATGTTTCACTTCTGATCCAAGAACCTTCTTCAGCTCTGAAGAAGCTTCTTGGACGGGGAAGCGAAACATCTTCAAATAAAAACCAAAAAGTCCAGTTGCCTCTTGGAAAAAAAAAAAGCACATGTATACATTTTGGACACAATTTATCTCATAAACTTCCTCCCCCCTTCCCTTCGGTCCCCATGACCTACAACCATTGTAAAATACAGGTAGTGCTTGACTTACAGCAGTTCATTTAGTAAACTGTTCAAAGTTACAACAGCACTGAAAAATGTGACAATACCATTTTTTACAGTGATGACCTTTGCAGCGCCCCCATGATCATGTGATCAAAATTCAGACACTTGGCGACTGGCTCGTATTGATGGCTGTTGCTGTGTCCCAAGGTCATGTGATTTCCTTTTGTATCCTTCTGACTGTCATGCCCTTGTTGGAGTCCAATTCTGAGGGGGAGATTGAGCAGCTGACAGGGAGTGGGAGTGTGGATCCGGTGGCTGTGGAAGAAACGGGGGAAGGGCTATCCCCTCTTCATCCTAGGGCATGCAGGGAGGAACGGAGAAGGGAGCAACATGGCTTACAGGAGAGAAAAAGGCCCTGATCCCCTTCATGGGCTGCAGCTAGGAAGACTGTTTAAAAGGGCAAACTGCGTATGGCAAAGTTGCTGGAAGCAAAGTGTGTATTATTTTTGTCAAGTCTGGGTTTTGGCGTCCTCCCAACCATGGGTGCTGCATTATCTTTTGGAAGTCTGCAATTTATCATCCTGGCCTGTCGTGTTAAGTACTTCAGCGTGGTTTGTGTTGGTTTTTTTTATTTCTAATTATCTTTACTTTGGATTCGGATTGCATTTCTTCCTTTCATAGACTGTTTTTGGAAAAGTTTGATCTCCAGACGAGGATAACTGAACATTGGGGGCCAAGTTGGAGGCATTAAAGGGAATTTATCTACTTTGGTGATTTTGTTATTATTGTGCCACGCCCCCGGTCCTCGCATTGACGAGCAAAGTCAATGGGGAAGCCAGATTCACTTACCAACTGGGTTACTAACTTATCAACTGCAGTGAATCATTTAACAACTCTGGCAAGAAAGGTCATAAAATGGGGCAAAACCCACTTAACAACAGAGATTTTGGGCTCAATTCTAGTCATAAGTCAAGGACTGCCTGTACATGCAGGTTGCCAAGTACCCAAAATACGATCAGTGACCCGGGGACGGCGTGTCCGTCATAACTTCAAGGACCAGTCATAAGACACTTGTTTCAATGCCATCATAACTACAAATGGTCGTTAACGAGAGGTCGGTTGCAAGTTGAGAACTGCTTGTGCTTTGGTCAATATCCAGTATAAAGAATTGATATTAAAACAAAAACTTACTGCTATGGTAATCTAATAAGCCTCATTTTAATCATAGAAGCCACTCAAGTGGAGGCCAAGATATGTGCTGTTGAAGAGGATAATTTTGCTGTCTATCTTTATGTCACAATAAAAGGTGAAAAGGTAATATTTACAAATTACATACAGTCTTTTAAATTGAGTGTTGGCTTCCTGGCCATGTTAATCCTGTGCAGGGAGTAGTAAACAATATCCTCTTCTATGCAGTGCTTATAGTTAGGGTTGTGCTGCAGTGTTTGAATAGAATTATATGACTTATTGCTCTGAATTGAGATCTAACAATGTATTTCAAAATTCTACATACAAAGACCCACAGCTGCAGCTGTCAAAATAACTAGAGCACATATGGAATGGAATGGACCTTGGAGGTCTTCTAGTCCAGCCCCCTGCTCATTTAATATAGTTTAGATTAAATATTGCAGTGCTGTTTTCTGCTGCTCTTAATGTGATATTTTTATTTTGACAAAATTCCTTAAACACCAGAAATGCCTCGTTACTTAACTATGTCACATTAATCATTTCTAATATATAAGCATAAAAACTCTCGTGCATTTTAATGTATCCGCCTCTTTAACCTTCACATGCAAAACACTGCTTTTGTCACAGGTGTGTGTGAACGATGCTCTTGTTGCAAAGAACTATGCTTGCTATGAACTTGAGAAAACAAACCAGAAACGAGATTCAGAAGGTACCAAATCTCGTTCAGAGGAGAAGAATCCTGTAAGGCTGCTGTGGCCAATGTTACTACGAGAATCTAAGGTTTCTGAGATGGGCAAGTATGAGATATATGAGCTGCGGTAGCGCAATGGTTAGAGTGCAGTCCTGCAGGCTACTTCTGCTGACTGCCGGCTGCCTGCAATTTGGCAGTTCGAATCTCACCACTCAAGGTTGACTCAGCCTTCCATCCTTCCAAGGTGGGTAAAATGAGGACCCAGATTGTTGGGGGGCAAGAGGCTGACTCTGTAAACCGCTTAGAGAGGGCTGTACAAGCACTGTAAAGCGATATATAAGTCCAAGTGCTATTGCTGAACCCGTCCCTCAAGGAATAGGTGATAGCAGCCGGCATACTGCTGGAATACACTCTGCCTGCACACTACAGCAGGATTGCCCAACTGCCAGGAATGGCTAGCAGGCTATTCCAATGTTCTGTGATTAGAATGCAGTAGTAGGGGTGAAATTGGCAGGGCAATGAGACCTGGAGGTGTTGGAGGCACAAGCACTGTGCCTTTCAGGGCTGAAGGAGCTGCAGAAAACTGGGAGAAAGTGGATGATTCTTCCTGGCTGCAGAGTTGTTGAAAAAAAAAAAAAAAAAGCAAGACACAGAAAGATAAATGACACCTGCTTGGAGTCGTCCTATAACCTACCCTAGAGCAAGGATGTCCAACTGGAGGCCCAGGGCTGAATCCACCCTGCCGGGTGCTTAAATGTGGCCTGTGGGACCGGCCTGGAAATAACAAAGGACCGACCCGCGGTGCCTCTGGCAGCCAAAACGGGGGGCACACAGCTGCTCCACGGCCTGTTTTGGCCAGCAGCATGCTGCAGGAGGCGTCGGTCTCGTCTTCCCTCCCTCCCCCCCCCCCCCCGCACCCCGGCACTAAAGTATCTGCCATGAATTATTCCCAATCAAAAAGAGAGGAGAAACAAAGGGGCACACTTTGGTTCGTTGCACACTGAATTCGACCAATGTTTACCACTACACCAAAACTGGGAGTTCTAGAGTGTGCTGTGTTCTATATTTTGTATTGTTTTTACCTGTGGTAGCCCACCCAGAGTCACTACATGAGATGGGTTTTTATACTCATGAAAATTGTACTTTATTTTAATTTTCTTTTTTTATTATTTTATTTCCAGGACATGGCCTTTAGAAGATGCATTTTAACATTTTAGTAAAAAGTCACTTGCACATTTCTTTTAGGTGCTGCTCCTGTTTGTGATAATTCTGAGATAGCAGAGTTGACACATTTCCCAGAAATTAACTTACATAAACCAAAACAGCCTGTAAGTACTAAATGCATCCTTTTTACCTTCTTGGTTTTCAAATGTCAAGCATTGCTGAACTGTTAAAACGTCCAAAACCTGGGGAAAAGCTCCATTCAATTTTCGAATGGTTTATTCTAAATATCACACTACTAACTAGAGCAGGGATCCCCAACCTTTTCGACGCCGCGGCCCGGTTCCGACATCAGCTGGGCGCCGCGGCCCGGTACCGGCGTCAACTGGGCGCCGCCATCTTTTTATGACGAAAAGGCGCTTCCGGTGAGCTTTCTACCCGGAAAAGCTCACCAGAAGCGCTTTTTTACCAAAAAAAAGATGGCGGCGCCCAGCAACCAGCGGCCCGGTAAGGCTTGTTCCGCGGCCCGGTACCGGTCCGCGGACCGGCGGTTGGGGACCCCTGAACTAGAGCATACAAAACATTTGCTAGACCAATACTCGAATACAGCTCATCAGTCTGGAACCCACATTACGTATCTGATATTAACACACTTGAGAAAGTCCAGAAATATTTCACAAGAAGAGTTCTCCACTCCTCTACTCGTAGCAGAGTATCTTATGCCACCAGACTTGAAACTCTAGACCTAAAAAACCTTGAATTACGCCGTCTTCAGTCTGATCTAAATATAGTATATAAAATCATACATTGCAATGTCCTACCTGCAAATGAATACTTCAGCTTCAATCATAACAATACAAGAGCACACAGTAGACACAAACTCAAGGTTAACCGCACCAAACTTGAGTGCAGGAAATACGACTTCAGCAACAGAGTGATCAATGTTTGGAATACTCTACCTGACTATCTGCTTTCTTCCCCAAACCCCAAAAACTTTAACCTTAGACTGTCTACTATTGACCTCACCCCCTTCCTAAGAGGCCTGTAGGGGGCATGCATGTGCACCAACGTGCCTACCATCCCTGTCCTATTGTTTTTTGTTTTTTCTTATAAGTATCTATCTCATGTATTCAAAACTATATTTATTCTTATACCTGTATCTTGTAAGCAATTGACAAATCAAGTCAAATGTAAAAATGTAAAATGTAAAAATAAACGTTTACAGATTATGCAAAAGATGATAGCGCATATCTAGTATTTAGCTGCTTTTAAGAAATATGATACCAGGTATCTTGCTTTTTATTCTGTAGTGAAATGCATTGTTACAAACGTAGACATGATCCTTTTTGTAGAATCCTGAATAAAAATGTGAGATTCCTTTATTTGCCTGCTTAGGATGTAGTGGTGCCTGTTTCCCCTTTGAAGCAAGGAATAACTTTTTCTGTACCATCAGGCATGCAAACAGTCAGGTATATTTTAAATGTTTGTATTTCATTTCTGTTTCATTAGTGGTAAGATACTATTTTCTTTTTTTAAAAAACCAGAAAATTGTTGGTTGATATTATAAAGTAAAATTAATATTTAAATTTAAGCTGACTTAAATTGACTTCTAATAAGAGACTGAGGGATGTTTTAAAATATTATCTATGTTTTTGTTCAACAGAATATTGATCAAATTCATCTTAATAGTTCACTTCTTATGTATCTTATTCCCAGTTTTGAGATGGGCAATTAATATTCTCAAGGGGCCACATGAGTTCCCGGTCTGCTGTGGAGGGCTGTGAGGGTACACTCACCCAGAAGGCCATGCTTCAACCGAAATGGTGGTGGGTGGCTGAGCCCATATCCCCTCACACACTGTCTGCTACTGCCATCTGAGGCTGCTCCAGGATTTGGTTTATAATTTCCAATTGCCCTCACATGGTCCAGGTCAGCAACTGTAAAATACCCAGGTCTGTTTCTATTTGCATTTTTCATAATTAGCTGGGATCTACACACACACACACACACACACACAAACCCCATGTGAGCAGAGGACACATTCCCATTTCTCCCCATGCTGTTTTTCAGGGAGAATAAGAATCCCAGAATTTAGAAAAATTCCTGATACATGTGTGCAATCTCTCAGCAGTTATGTTTACAGATATTACTAAGATTTTTCTCAAACCATTGTGCTTCATTTTAGCAACTTGCCTAAGTCAAGTACCAAAATACAGGAAAGGGAGAATGATCTCTACAAGAACAACCTTGGGGTGAAGTAAGCTTTTTCTCATCATGACAACCAGTATTTATGAAGTCCAAGCAATTAATATGCTTTGTATGAAGAACAGGCAGGTGCATTTACACCTCTTCCTTGAAATAGGTTTGAGTCTGCGTGTTCCAGGAAAGGACACTGCTGGTACTGCATCTCTTTCAAAAATGAAGGTGGCTTCTTGTTATAAACTCAGAGCCTCTGATTTGAGCTGGCCTTAATATTTAGCTGAAAAGTGTGATTACCAGTAATTTGTAATTTTCCTGCAGCAGCACAATCTTGACCATGATGATATATGCTTCAAAAAATTTGAGCTCCCTGCCTGGATTTCAGAAAAGCAATGTCTTGTGCTCAACTACTCTTAGAAAAAAGCAACCCTTTTCTCTGAATTAGTACTTGGAGAGGCTCAGAAAACAACTAAAAGGCATTTAATTGCTTCTTGAGCCTTTCCAAAATCAAAGTGAAGTGGTGAACTTTATCCAGGAAAAGAATGGAAAGCTTTCCAGTTTAAAAAAAAAACATGCTTGTTATTGGTGAGTTGATCAGTACCTTTGTTAATTATATTTTTAGATATTAAACTACTGGAAAAGTATGTACTGAACTGGAGTATTTGGGGTTAATCCTCAAGCCATGGGGTGATCCATGTCCTGTTTATTTCAGACACCATATATAGTTGCTAAACAGCAGTTCATTTCCTACCATGATGGAATAAAACTTTTTAATATAAGGAATTAAATGTGGTAAACAAAAAGAAAAGTTACATTGTAGGGTTCTGGAGAGCTTCTGCACAGGAGAAAATTTCCTGTATGCCTAATTACACTTGGTTAAATTAAGTGTTCTATTCTGTTCTATTTCTTGCAAGCAATATCAAACCATTGCTTTTCTTTTCCAGGATGTTGTGTTTTTAACAGCTGAATAAGTCTTTCTTTATAACATCTATCATTAGTTTAAATTAAGAAACATTCTAATTTGGGATTTGGATTGCTGAGACTTGGGGCCAAAATTTGTTAAGTGAATGAACCAGCAAATACAACCCAAAACAGCAAGAAGTTGTATATTATTATTACATTTATTGTCAGAGTACAACATGTGTACAATGAGATTGGCTGATCCTCCCTTATATTTGACCCTCAACTGTTTGTAAAGCTTAGAAAAACAAAGGCTGAATGAATGAACTTTTAATGGATACTTAAAAAATCAACTTGTGTGTTTTCAGGCTTCTACAGTTTTTAAACCCTGATCCTCTGAAAATTGCCACTGATCAAGAAACTGAGGTAATTCAAGAAACAAGTTAACTTTTAATGTTTTAATTTGTGTGAATGTTTTTCTGAAAGGAGAAATGTTTTAACGTTTCATGTTTTAATGAAGGCATAAGAAACTGAATCTTCAGATTTGCACTGTCTTAGAAGTTTCTTGGATATTACAGGATCCAATTAACTTGGGACATGTCTTTATTTTTGGGGTGTTTTTGTTTATTTTGTAAAAAAGAAATAAACAAGGTAGAAAACACTTGTGTCAAGTTGAACACTCAAAAAAATTATGTGTGGCCTTTTAGCCTTTCGTTGGTGTTTATTTTTAGGAGCTGAAGCTGAATATCACCACTACATGTCTTCCTGTTGTGCTGAGTAATAAAATTGAACCATGTTCATCTCTAGAAACCGCACCACTGTTTCCAGCTTTAAAAAAGGTAGTATTTACAATCTTCAATAGGATATAATTTACCATATTGCAGAAAAGCATATTGGTGATGCCTTGATCAAATTCCTTAAATAGCAATGACTATACATCACTCTGAACAAAAGCATTTTAATAATCCTTCATGGTTATTTTATTTTATTTTTTTGCAACATTCAGCATAGTGATATTAGCAGTTAACAACAATTAATAGCCCATGCTTCTGGGACTACCAAAGCCGTCCCAGGCTCGTTTAGCAATATTATTTCCATTTTGGTGGTGGCATATCAGAAAAGGGAGGAAGGGTATTGTATAGTTTTATTTAATGACAGTTTAATCTTGATCCCTTCAATAGTTGAGCCCTTCAAATTTTGGGGTTCTGTAATCTCCCATGATTTGAAATGGACACCTAACTTAGAAGCATCATTAAAAAGGCACCAACAGAAAAGAATGTTCTTCCTGTGTCAACTTAGGCAGTTCAACCTGCCCAAGGAACGGTCCAGTTCTACAGAGAAAGTATTGAGTCTGTCAGTTATACTCCAAGAACCTTCTGGTTTGGTACAGCAGCGAACAGGATAGGTACAGACTGCCAAAAAAAAAAAGAAATTGCTACCAGACTGCCTTCCATTGAGGACCTGTACATTTCACGAGCCAGAAAGAGGGCTGAGAAAATATCTACAGTCCAGTGGTGACATTCAATCACCTTGCACCATCTCGGGAGAGGTGGTAGGGACAATTTGAATCGGTTGTCCCCACCCACACCCACCCACCTTCTTCCTTTTAGAGACTGAGTCCCACCAAGCCACGCCCACAGAGCCGGTGGGGAAAAAATTTGAATTTCACTCCTGCTACAGACCCCTCAAATTCTGGATATAAATTGTTTCAACTCCTCCCCTCAGGGAAGGCCAAAACAATTAGACACAGGGACAGTTTTTTCCCTTGTGCCATGACTGCTGAATACCTAATCCTCATGGTATTGTTCATCGTCTAAGTATGTTTACCAGTGTTGTATGACTGTAGTATTATCCTTCCCGTCTTCTCTACTACCCCCTCTTATTATATAATCATTATGATTGTTATTACTCTGTTGCTTTGCAAGTACATTGAGAGCTTCCGCACAGGAGAAAATTTCCTGTATGCCTAATTGGTTAAATTAAGTGTTCTATTCTGTTTTATTTCTTGCAAGCAATATCTAACCAACTATTCTTTGTTCCTTTTCTGAAAGGAGCTTTTAAGAAAGCAATTCCAAGGACCTAATCATGTACAGTCTTACTCCTGGCCTGCAATAGCACGTGGATATGATTCGCTTATTATCTCTTCTGAAAGTAACCCACTTTCATATCTTCTGCCAATCATTACATTTTTGCAGTCAAGAAATTGCTACATATCGTTATCAGCTAGACAAGGTGTAAGTGGAACGTTCAATTAATACTTCACAATTCCCTTAACTACTGGCAAGTACTTAAAATGGGCTACAGTGAGGTTATTATTGTTCCTAGTTCTCCTGTTGCATTTTTTAACATGTTTTTTTAATGAAATTCTTTGCATAGAAGGAAAAATGATTTTGGAAAGATGGCAGTGATTTAAAGATAGCAATAATAAAACATGCAGTGGTACTCAAACGTATTGTAAAATACCATTTTATAATAACTTGGTAAGGCCACACTTGTAATACTGCATTCAGTTTTGGTTGCCAAGATGTAAAAAGGATGTTGAGACTAGAAAGAGTGCAGAGAAGAGCAACAGTGATTATTAAGGGATTGGAAACTAAAACATGAACAGTTGCAGGAACTGGATATGTCTAGTTTGATGAAAAGAAGGACTAGGGGAGACATGATAGCAGTGTTCCAATATCTGAGGGGCTGCCACAAAGAAGAGGGAGTCAAGCTATTCTGTTCTTAAAAATGTTTGGGTCTCTGCACAAGTTTGTATTGTTTGTAATGGCTTTTTTAAGAAGTATGATCTACATATTTCTGATTCATCTCTGTATAATGTTTTGTATATGTAGCCAGTAGCATTAGTCATATGCCCTGGCCAGAAGAGAGCAGAACTGGTATTTGAGCACCTGAAAATGTACAGCCATTGCTCCAGGCCTCTTCACCCAATGTTGCTTGTCCTGGGAATGAAAAAGGAAGAAATCAAGAGTGTAAGAATTCCAAGAGGATGTAAGCAAAACTTGATTAATTGTATTGCCCACGGGAAGGAATGAGCAGATAAAGGCACAACAAAAATGTAAAGGGAACCCTAAGCATGTGGCATAGAATTTTAGAATAATGCTGCTGCCTCCTAAAATATTTTAACTGTAACTACAGGCAGTCCTCGACTTACAACAGTTCATTGAGTGACCATTTGGTTACAACGTCACTGAATAAAGTGGCTTACAACCGTTTTCCACGCTTACGACCATTGCAGCATCCCCAAGGTCATATGATCAGAGTTTAGCAATTGATTCATATTTATGACGATTAGAGCGTCTCGGGGTCGTGTGATTCCCCCTTTTGCGACCTGACAACCAAAGTTGGGGAAGCCAGATTCACTTAACAACCGTGTTATTAACTTAACAGCCGCCGGTGATTCACTTAACTGTGGCAAGGAAAAGTAAAATTAGGCAAAACTCACTCAACAACTGTCTGGCTTAGAAACAGAAATGTTGGCCTCCATTGTAGTCATAAGTTGAGGGTTACCTCAAATGAAAGCTTTCTTTGTTTCAGGTAACGAGGTTTGTAAAAGACATAACTCTAAGCCCTAAAGCAGGGGTGTCCAACCTTGGCAACTTTAAGACTTGTGGACTTCAACTCCCAGAATTCCTCAGCCAGCAAAGCTGGCTGAGGAATTCTGGGAGTTGAAGTCCACAAGTCTTAAAGTTGCCAAGGTTGGACACCCCTGCCCTAAAGCATAACAAATTACCTCAGAATTCCCCTTTTCCTCCAGGCTAGAGTGCCCTTCAGAGGTACAGCTAGTGTCAGTGTATTTGAACAGTTAAGTTAATAATGTTTTATTTCCACTTTCGAACCCAATGAGCTCGTTTCAGTGATGCCTTCCTTTTCATTTGACAGGTGAAATCGTGGTAACAACCCCACCTATCTTTTTGCGGCTGCTCGAGCATCATAGTTTACTCTTCCTTAGGTTGTGTCATCTGGTGTTGGATGAAGTTGATGTATTGTTCTCTGATGCCAAGGAGCAGGTGAGTTTGTGCTTGGAAGCACTTTTTGGCCTCTGATGAAGGAATAATAGCACTTAGACTTATATACCACTTCACAGTGCTTTACAGCCCTCTCTAAGAAGTTTTTACAGAGTCAGCATAATTGCCCCCAACAATCTGGGTCCTTATTTTACCTACCTCAGAAGGACGGAAGGCTGAGTCAACCTGGAGCCTGGTGAGATTCAAACTGCCAAAGTGCAGGCAGCTGGCAGTCAGCAGAAGTAGCCTGCAGTACTGCACTCTAACCACTATGTCACCATAGCTCTTAATTGGAAGAAAAGATTTTTTCCCCTTCTGCCAAAAAATAAAAATCAGCTGTACTTTTATATTGTTCCCTATAAATAAAACATTTCATTGGGATGCAGAGAGCTTGAACTTGATTTAATGGAATGGAAAGAAAAACAGAACAAGTAAATATCTAACAATACGTATACCAAAATCCCAGTTCATTTCAAAAGAGCAGCTAGTAAGAAGTTGCTTTCTTGTCCCATCATTTCCATTCATAATCTCCTGAATAGCAATTCTCTATTGTAAAGGCAGAAGATAATTATGAAACGGTGAAAATTATGAAAAAAAAGGCTGAAAAACTAATTTTGTTGTACGAGGTGCAATGACAAAGTATAAACGAAACTTTAATCCCTGTTTACAGACACTTACTATTTTACAATACTACAAATCTAACCTGAGCGTTGAAGAAAAGGAGTTTGTGCCGCAGCAGATTGTTGCTGTTGGAAACCACTGGGACAAAAATATAGAAGTTTTAACAAAAGAATTCATGAATGATCCATATATTGTAATCACCTCCATGGGAGAAGCTGCCATATATGGGAAAGTGCAACAGGTAAAAGGTTTTTTTATATATCTCTTGTCTATATAATAGCGGGTTTGGATTTGGCGAAGGCACCAAATGAGATAGCTCTTAGTAGGTAAAAGCATAAAAAGTAAATCATAAAAATTGTCAGATTTCTGTGCTGCTCAGCTCGTGGCATATAAGAGTGTCCAGGTGGTAAAAGATTCCTCTGTGCAAAAAATAATGTGTTATGGCATCTCTAGAATTCAGTACAGGTAGTCCTTGGCTTACAGCAGTTCATTTAGTGACTGTTCAAAGTTACAGCGGCACTGAAAACAGTGACTTACGACTGTTTTTCACACTTAATGGCCGTTGCAGCATCTCCAAGATCATGTGATCAAAATTCAGAGGCTCAGCAACTGATTCCTATTTAGGACGGGGGTCATGTGATCATCTTCTGCCACAATTTGGGGAAGCCAAATTCTTTTTAACAACCGTGATTCTAACTTAACTGCAGCGATTCACTTAACGGCCGTGGCAAGAAAAGTCGTAAAATGGGGCAACATTCACTTGAGAAATGTTTCACTTGGCAGCAGAAAATTTAGGCTCAATTGCAGTTGTAAGTCAAGGACTACCTACTTTGTTCACTCAGAACAAAGGATCAAACTGAGTGTCAGCTGGACCATTGGGGATTTCTATCTTTTGGTCCTTGACTGTGTATAAAAAAACATGATTGTGGATTCTGCCTAAGAAAATAATCCTGATGGGGTTAGCTTTGCATCTCTAAATCGCTCGCCAAAAGGCTTTTTTTAAAATGAGGAACTATTTACATTCTAACACATTTGAGTAACATGTAATTTCAGGTTGTGCAGCTCTGCCTTGAGTGTGACCGGATCTCTACTTTACTTCAAACGTTAGATTTTACCCCTACAGATGCTCAGAAGACGCTGATTTTTACAAGTTGTGTGGAAGAAAGAGACATGGTATACAAGGTATCTCCTTCCCTAAAACTTGCCACGGTTGGATGCCCCTGTGTTAGAACCTGCATTTAAACAAAGCTAAGAAAGGATGTGAGGCATGGTTTGTTCAGGGCATCGTAATAGAAAACTAAGCAATAATGGATGGACTCTGATCCAAATAAATGAATCACATTATATGACTCAGTTATTTTCTATCGACCAAGCTTTTAACAAAAATTCTCTTATATTGCATATTATATAACTTGATTGCATCCTCATTTTTATGATCAGGCGGTAGAGAGCATTTCAATCTTTTGCTTGAAAATGAACCCGGGAATTGGATTTCATTCTGATTATATTGTAGAGCAGTGGAACAAAACAATCAGCCCTGGAACCCATGTTGTATTGGGTAAGTATCTTCTCTAGGGTCTTTCTCCAAAACCAATTGACTCTTTAGTTCTCTACTTATGGTTTTATAGTCTAACTTATAAAGCATTTTTCAATTTTGGATTAAGACCGGCGTCAATTCTGTTGTGATCAGCTATAATGATGGCCTCATTAATCCTTAGGGTAGGAGTTAATCCTATAATGAAAAACAAGAGATGGAATTAGTAAGAACAGTATTTATTCTCGATGCTTCTATTAACCCATCTAGTCTACCTGCTCCAGGTGGTTATTTTCTGCCTATAAAGGATGTGGTTTGCCTTATTTGTAAGCTTCCTCCCAAGTCACTAATTAGTAGTCTGAAAGCGATATGCAGGAACATTCCTTTAATTTAAGAACCAGCAGATGAGTCTTTATGTTAGAACTATGCTTACAGAATCCTGGGGGGGTTGTGCCAGTGGTGAGATTCAGAAAATTTTACTCCTAGTTCTGTGGGCATGGTGTGGCTTGGTGGGTGTGGCAGGGGAAGGATACTGCAAAATCTCCATTCCCTCCCCACTCCACGAACCTGCTTTCCAGCTCCGTTCTCCTATGCAGGGCAACCAAAGAAGACCCAGCCGATCAACTGGGACTCAATGGGAGGCAGAGAATAGATGGGGGCGGGGCCAGTCAGAGGTGGTGTTTGCCGGTTCTCAGAACTACTCAAAATTTCCACTACCGGTTCTCCAGAACTGGTCAGAACCTGCTGAATACCACCTCTGGTTTGTGCTGATTATAAAGTGAGCTAGATGTATCTAGAAATACAGATTTTCTTTCCAGTTTTTGACAGCACGTAAAAAGAGGCTTTTGCATTATGGACCTTCTGATTTTTGTTTCCAGTTTTAACCGATGACTGCACAGCAGCTGTAAAATTTACAGACGCAACCCGTGTCATTCATTTCAGCTTTCCACCAACTCCAAGAATCTTTGGTGCCCGCTTACATGGCCTGTCTGCCAACTTCCAAAATTCAGTAGAAAAGGTCTGAGTAAATCCTAATAAATTGTCTGCATGAAATACAGTTTTGCAATTTCAAATGGAAAAGCTCTCACTGGGTCTCTTTTCTCTCTAATACACTCCAGTGGCCATTGAGCCTCTCGCTCTACCAAAAACTCTACTTATTAATTCCTTCCTCCTCCCCACCCCCCCCCAAAGAAAAAAAAAAGATTTTGAATTTATGCCTGGAATTTTCTGTCCAACTCACAATGTAATACTTCTCTTCTTCTGTTCTTCTGACATTTTTCTTCCCTCCGTGCAAAGAGTCCATCACTGGGAAAAGAAGAGAGCAAAGCCAAATCCATCTTGCTGTTGACAGAGAAAAATGCCTGCCATGCAGTTGGAGTGTTGAATTATTTGGAACGGGCAGAAGCTTTCGTCCCCCCTGACTTGTACAACTTTACCAGGGGAGTGTTGGAAGCCAAAGAGGAAAAGAGAAGCGGGCAGCCGTTTTGTTCTTCCGTTAAGGCCTATGGAATATGCAAGTAAGGAAATGCCAAGGCCATTTTATTGTTATGGAGATTCTCGGCCATCCAAGTCATGGTTGTCCCAAAGGTGCTTTTTCGAAAGGCAACTGGACTTTGTTTTCCTTGAAGACATTTCGCTTCTCATCCAAGAAGCTTCTTTCTTCAGTTCAGCTTCCTGCATGAGAACCAAAACCTCTTCAAGGCAAAAGAAAGCCCAGTTGCCTTTCGAAAAAGCACCTTTGGGCCAAGGCCATTAGTTTCAGCAGTTGTTTACCTTGTTCTCCTGCTATAAGGGGATAACTTAGCAAAACATGCAGACAGCAATCTAATGGCAGCAGTTTGGGAGAATTTTTCTGGCTGCTAATACATCATATTATCCTCTGATGAGGTGAAACACCCGATCTATTCAAGTAGCAGAGGAAGGAAGTGTAAAATCTGGCTTTTTATCAAAACAACTTGTTAAGGAATGGAGAACAGCAGCATCAAATCATGGATTTGCCGCAGCAACTTCTGAGCCTTAGGCAAGGCTCCATGCAAAACATTGTGTTGTATCACTGCGATGCAGCCTTTTGCTTGATTCCTTTAGTGAACTGTTCACATGCAGGGACACCCTCTGTGGCTCTCACCTGGGATTCACAGAACCTTTGATTTATCACCCATAGCAATCTGTGGTGCTCCAGTGACACGTTTGTAAACTCTTGTTTTGTGGACGTTTCTTCCCCCGTGTTCTCCATACAAGCTGTGATGGTATCAATTCCTTTTCCGCAACTGCTTGCTTTGTTCTGTGGTTCCAAACAGTGCGATATTTTGGAATTGCTACCCTAATATTCTTTTGTTGTTTAACCCTGTCTCCTTACGATCATACAGAAATAAAAAACGCTGCCCAGATCGCCATCGCGTTAACCTTCAAATTGATGTGCCCTCAAAAGTAGCTGACGAAGCTCTGCAAACAGGTGGAATTATAACAGTGAGTCTACAAAACACCTTCGGTTTCTAAATCGGTTCAGACTGGGATGCTTGTTCCAACTTTCTCACAGAAAACACTTTTCCTGCTGTCTCCTCTTGATCCTACCATACCTCTCTCTGCAACTGGATGTCACCTCAACTGCACGATGCCTTACATTATTTTAGAACAGGGGTCCCCAACCACCGGGACCGGTCCGTGGATCATTTTTTATCGGGCCGCAAAGCTTGGGCGCCGCCATCTTGTTTCGACGGCGCTTCCGGGTTTTCGGTTGCTTCTGGGTTTTCGGTTGGAAAGCGGCGTTTGGGTGCTCACGCCTTAGTTTCGTCGAACGGGGGGGGGCGGCTTCGAACGAAGAGCCGTCCCAATGGCGGTGGAGTCTCATGTTACTCAGGTACCGGTCCGTGGAAGAATAAATAATCGTGAAACCGGTCCCTGGTTCAAAAAAGGTTGGGGGCCGCTGTTTTAGAAGATCTTGGCAGAATTGCTTCAGTTTCCTATTCTTTGTGTGCTAGCTTCCCCCCCTCCCCTCCCAAAAAAGGCTCATACAAGAAAGAGAATGGGGAGAAAACAGTTAAAACAGATGCATTTTTAATGGACATTTACAGTAAATCTAATTACTGGTAGAAATCTTCCTTTGTTGACTTCCGGGAAATATGCAGTGCTTTTTACGTGTGTTTTCTATTTTCAGATACTGCCTCTTTTTATTGTGGATGCCACAAACTACTTAGGCCGTGTGGTAGGGAAATGGGGTAATCTCTACGCAGCTCTTGAAACAGAGATGAAGGACTATTATCAGGAATCTAGCAATTGTACCCCAGCGGACAAAGTGGAGAAGCTGGCAATGTATGGACTGCGGGAAGAAAATTCTTTCCACAGGTAGGATACTCGGAGCATTGTAGAAATAAATTAATTTAGCCATCGTTAAGCAGGGCAGTCATAAAGCACAGTGCCAAAGGACCACACCACATGGCACGAGCAGTCCCAGCTGCCCCCATAACTTCAAAATGTGATGAGGGTTAAGGGGTGCAGGATGAGGAGTGCACAGTTGTGGGGGAATGCCAGAGGCTGCGAGAGGGCAGGGCAGAGACAATGCAGTTGCAGGCTGCAGAGAGAAAGCAGGAGCAACTTACCAGAGCAATTTGCAATTTGCAAATGGGATCATGCGACTTCAGCTTCCCTGCAATGTCACAACTGCGAGCAGAGCGCCCAGATTCCAATTCTAGGGGTGCAGCAATGGCTGGAACATCAACAACCAAATGTACCTCCATTTTTTTTTACCACTATCACAATTTCCACAATGGCCACTAAATGAATGGACACAATCAGAGGATTATCTGTGTAATGACTGGTATAGTGGTGGTCTAAATCAGAAATGGAAGCAGACAGTGCTGTTTCTCCGAATGGCGCTGTGCCCATGGATTCACTCTTGGGGTCTGCCTTGATTACTACCAGGGCAACGAATAGGACCATAAGTAGGCCCTATGCAGGGGGATAGCCAGGCTCCTTGTGGGCTATAGAAAACTCTCGCCCTTAAAGTTATCTCCCCAAACAGGATTGAGCAGCAGAATCTTTTTTTTTTTATTTGTTTATTCATGAGCAGCAGAATCTTAAGGGGCCAAAGATGATTGCAGGTTGTAAGCATAGGGAATGTGAACTGAATGCGTAGTTCTATTTGTTGCGCTGAATCATACGCTCTGGTAAGGTTGTACACGTACATAAAAGGCCAATTTGTACATTTTTTTAATAGTTGGAAATTCCTGGTGTCTTTCCCCTGCATTCTCTTAAAGGGTCCAAGTGCTAGACGTGGAACAAAAAGAAGAGCCCAGTGCGTTTTACAACGTTGACATCAAGTACATAGATGAAGGCAGAACTGGCTATGTTCAAAATCATCACTTGCTTAGTTTACCAGAACAATTTCAAGCGTTGCCTCCTCAGGCTGTGGAATTCATAGTTTGTAGGGTTAAACCCATTGATAATGAAGCAGAATGGCATCCAAAAGTAAGTTGACAAAATTTGGAGTTGGTTTGATTTAGTTTTTGATCTTTGCAAACAGTGGATACTTTTTTTCTTACTAATCCCAAATGTAATCTTTTCCAGATGTTTTGATGAACTATCACACTAAATGGTGCCTAGTGCCCGATTTTAAACAAGAAGCAGCCAATTTGGTTCTCTTCCCCCCCCCTCCCGGTTTTAGTTTTAATTCTTTCGTTGTGCCAAACAATGAGTGGGATACACTGAATTCCTTAAGAGTTAATTAATATATTTAATAGGCACCTGTTCATATAATTGCTTGCCCTGTGGCTACACTACACTACTGCAGTAAGCTTCTGTTAAAAAGAATGCTGTTTAGTCATTGAAAAGGAACATTGTCTGTTTTCTGAAGATTGCCTTTGTTTCTTGTTTTTTTGTTAGGTATCCAGATGCATTAATGACAAAATCAGAGGAAAACCACATGAAGCCAAAGTAGCTCTTGTCCTGGGAAATACAATTTGGGTAGATCCGGTGGTATGTAATGCAGAATTCAACTGTTCCTTATTTCCCTTTCTTTGAAAATGCAGGTAGTCCTCAAGTTATGACCACCGTTGAGCCCCAAATTTATGTTGCTAAGTGAAACGTTTGTTAAGTGAAGGTTGTCCCGTTGTACGACTTTTCTTGCCGCATTTGTTCAATGAATCACTGCCATTGTCACTTTTTTCAGTGCCATTGTAACTTTGAACAGTCGCTAAATGAACTGCTGTAAGTCAAGGGCTACCTGCAATAGATGTAGCCCTTGACTTAAGACCACAGTTGGGGCCAGAACTTCCATTGCTAAGCTATCGGTTATCAAGCAAGCCACGCCTGATTTTTACAGCCTTTTTTTTTTTTTTTTGCCACGTGGAAGTGAACCCCTGCAGTTGTTGAGTGAATCACGTGGTGGTTAAGCAACTCCATCTTCTCCCATCGACTAGGCTTGTCGGAAGACAGCTGGGAAGGTCATAAATGGCAATCACGTGACTCTGGAATGTTGTAAATATGGGCTGGTTGCCAAGCATACCCTAATTTCGATCACATGGCCATGGGGGGGGGGGAGGAATGCTACAGTAATTATAAGTGCAAGGATTGGTTGTAAGTCATTTTTATCACTTGTGCTGTAACTTTAAACAGTCACTTAATGAATGGTTGTAAGTCAACTACCCGTTTTGAGAGTTTTCCCAGGTTTTGAAATGAGAGTGAACAGGTAGTTTCTTCTGGGTAATAGATATGATCAGTAGCTTGTAATTCTAATTTTCAACAACAAAAATGCTTTCTTTTTGTATTTTATTTTTTTTACATTATTGAAACTTAAATCTTAGAACCAAGAGAAGGACAGTAAGATCTGGCTCGGTCTAGGAATGTCCAAAATTTAAAATGCAGTCTCTGTAGATACTCATCTTCTAAGAGAACGAATAAAACAATAAAAGGATGAGATTGTGGCCATAAGTAGGATCAAGAGTCAAGCAATAATTTGGAGCCTGCAAAAAAAAAAAAGTCCCTTGTTTGTTTGTTATTTTAAATTCTAGATTCGAGTCACTAAACTTCAAGACCTGAAAACTTCAATCAACGAATATAATATTCGCTCTGAAATCCTATCTACTGGATTGGGAGTGGACAATCCTGAGCATATACAGGAACTTGAGAAATTATTTAATGAGGCTGAAATACCCCATGAGAAAAAAGAGAAGCCTGCATTGTAAGATATATTTTATGGATAATTACTGGGTGCGTGCACTAAAACTGGATGGTGGCTATTCAGAATCATGTTGCGATCATACTAGTTAAAGAACTACATTGGTATATAGTTTCACGCCCTATAATATGGTTGTGGGAGGTAAGGATAAAATTCATGAGGTTAAGCTGGATATTTATAGCTCTGATATGTGTTGATCTGTCTCTGTTTCAGGAAATAAGTAGTCCCTTGAATGCATGGTTGACATTAGGTTACTCCAGACGCCAAGGAGTAAGGATAGGGCACTCCCCCAGTTCTGCAAATACAGCCATGGGTTTCCTACCTACCACCCACTGTTGGTGGCCTGGCGTAATAACAAGCACAGTCCTTATGTAAAGAACACATCAAAAGACATTTTTATTTTATAAGAGAACCCCGATAGCTTTAAAACTTTCGAAATGATAGCTTTAGACTTGAAAGCATCCTTTCTTTGTTCTTCTGTTTCAGAGACTTTAATTATTTGCTCATATTATAGGGAGTCGTTTAATTAAAGTCACTGCTTTGAGGTAGTTTGTGAAATCTCAGTGTCTTCTCCCCTGTGTTGCTCTTAGACTTTTCATATCACTTCATAAAGAGGAGAGCAACACTTCTTTTGAGCACACAAATGAAGGCGTGGTGGGCCCAAATCAAGGGAGAGAAAATGCCTCTTGTGTATTTTCAGGAGACCCTTCTCCTGCGAATCATCCTGCCTCCCTTCTCAGGGCACAGGTGATCATGGTTGGAAGCTCCACATTTCCATTTTCCTGCCAGAAAGCTCCATTCCTGTCTACAAACTTCCACAAAAATTTAAACCTTGCTACCCACTAGGGGGTGGCAAAGAACTAAGAATAAAGCTCTTCTCTTTCCAACTGGCTAGAGAATGGCTTTCTAGCAAAATGTTTTTGTCCTTATTAGATAAAAGTCTCTCAATGTTTGCACATTCTTTTTTTTAAAAAAATAAAAGAGGTATTGTTAAACAGCACAGCTGATCAGCTGGAGAAAGGGTAAAAATGCTTCTATTAAAAAAACGATATGTGTTAGGATCTTTTTCCTTCCTAAATTTCAGAAGAGGAGAGCACGTACTTTTGCTGGACAAAATATCTCGATATATGATCAATAGTGTGATCTTAAGAAACATGGCATGCGTTGCCCTGAAATACTGGATAAAAGCGCAGCAGCTGATAATGTTAAATCCATGGCAAAACAAAGAATTTGTGTATTTGCGCTAAGCAAGGCAGTGGTTAAGTGAGTTGGGCCTCCATTTACGGAATTTTGCCACAATGAAGCGAATCGCTGTGTTGTTAAGTGAATCACAGGACCATTAAGTCAATCTGGCTTCCCCCATTGACTTGGCTTGTCGAAAGACAGCTGGGAAGGTTACAAATGGTGAGATCACAAGGCCAGAGGACAGTGCAACAGTCATAAATACACGCCAGGTGCCAAACACCTGAGTTTGGATCACGTGTCCATGGGGATGGTGCAATGGCCATAAGTGTAAAAATTGGTCATAAGTCACTTCTTTCAGTGCTGTTGTAACATCGAAGGTCACTAAACGGATGGTTGTAAGTTGAGAACTACCTGTATTCTAATGGCTTAATGCTTGTTTTGACTGAAGGTTTCTCCTAAGACTGAAGCCCAGGTAGGTTCAGATTTTTCTGGGAGATTCTTCTCAATTTTTGAGTCTTGCTGGGTGACTATAATAGATCTCCCGGGAATAGATAGACCTTTCAGTGTTTGTGCATTTCCCTTTTATTCTGGTATGTTTTTATGAATTACCAAAGAAAAACTACAGTGCATTTTGAGTGGTTGGCCTCCTTAATGTCTCTGGAAAAACCTACAGCTGATGGAAAGATTTTTGACAGGAGTCATAGTATGTGCTTCCTTTCATAGCACACTGGCTTCCCTGCCACCAAATTCTTGCAGTCAGACCACTTGAGAGTATCTCTCTTTGAATATTTTATTAATGCATCAAAATACGAAATGCAAAGAAAAATTAAAAGAGGGAAAATAAAAGAAGGAAAGGGAAAAAAGTGTAGGAGAAAGGGGAAAAGGAAAGCATTGACTTCCAATTCCTTTTGGTTGCAGTAGAATAAAGTAGTAACATGAAACTCAACTTTTATACTGGCCATTTCTATAACAACAAACCTGTCTAATCAGCAAAATCCAAGGCCATTTGAGAGCATCAACGTTGTAGCGTGTTTGTTTTTTCCTCCTGTCGCTAGCAGCAAAATAGAAGACAGGTGCTTCTTTGGCATTAGCAAAAAAAAAAAAAAAGGATGTGAGAATTTTAAAACATATGCTGTTTGAAGCTAAATCTGTTTTCTCTTGGCTGAAAAACTCTGCTGATTCAACATTTCGGCCACGAAATTCTCTGTCCATTTCAGATTAAATCCCCCCACGGATGAAAGAAGTGAGGAGGCTGAACCTGTTGAGCAGAAAGTCTCAAATCCTGCAACTCTGAGCTCAGAGACCTCAAGCAAACAGCCCTTGCCCGTTGTACAGAAATCGCAGCACAGCCAAGATATCATCCATGATGGTTATTCTCAAGTGTCTTTAGAAAATCACTGTAGTAAGTACGATGTAGCAAATGAACGGGTGGAATAGAGTAAATACCCACAGGAGGAATTTTGTTCTGAGAAACAGGAAAGATAACAGAGTGTCCTGCTTGAGCAGAAGGTGGGACTAGAAGACCTCCGTGGTCCCTTCTAACTGTATTATTTTATGTTCTGTGAAAATTCTGATCCCTAATGATAAGACTGCAGAGGGTTAATTAAAATATGTATGCAAACTTTCTCTCCCTCTCCCTCTCTCTCTCTCTCTCTCTCTCCCTCTCCCTCTCCCTCTCCCTCTCTCTCTCCCTCCCCCCCTCTCTCTGTCTGTGTGTGTGTGTGTGTGTGTGTGTGTGTGTGTGTGTATATGCATGCTTCAGCAATAATAGTGCTGATGGTTGCCATTTGAAATATACTGAGATATGGACTATTTTTCTTTTGTGAGATATCTTTACCTTGAAACCACTTTTCTAATTAATTTAAATGCAGTTGGAACATTGTGTTCAGTTTTACCCATTGAAATCTGGTAAAGAGAGATGCCATGCGAATTTAACTTGTTTTATTTCTTAAAGTAGATGAAACGGCGCAAAATAAGAACAACGAAGACATTCTGCAGATTTCAACTAAATGGTATCAACCTTTATTTGATGGGACTTATATACGGGCCTTAGTTCTATGAAGAAGGGTGGAGGGTAATGTTTTTCTTGCTCTCTCCTTGTCTATCCTGGGTTCAAAGGGCTGCTTTTAGAAGGCTCCTGGCAGATCTCCAACTGCAAAGTTTTAAAACTTCCCAGAGAAAGTCCAAAGTTAGGGTTGTTTGAGCAGTGGGTGAAAAATATCTAATTTGACACGTAAATCATGTACTCTTTTGAAGAACTAGAAGAGTTAGTTCTCTCTCTCTCTCTTTCTTTCTCTCTCTCTCTCTCACTCACTCACACACACACACACACACACACACACAAACTAACTGCAAATTCCCCAAAATTGATTTCCTTTTTTTTTTCTTCACTCATTATGCATATTGTTTTGTGGCTGCATGGCTTTGGATTCAAATAATGTTTATTTTTCCCACATGGGATTTCAAAAAAAAAAAAAAAATCTTTTTTAACATTTTACTCTTCCAATTTCAATATGTAATTATTTTTTCCTTAAATGTTTTTTCCCTACTTGATAACACTGTATCTTTCAGGGCATATTTATTTTTAGTTTTATAATGTAAAGCTTGAACAGTTACATCTATCTGTGCAAAATGCAATTACATATCTAACTGGTAGGGTAAAGCAGTTCAACTGTTGGATTGGGGTCATGGCCAAGATCTCAGTCAATGAATAAATATTCGGCTTTTCAGTTGGATGCTTTGTTTTGCTGATTTCGGGGTGGGGCGGGATAGAAGAGACCAATTTGATTGAGATTATTCTGCTCATAAGCTAAGTTACTTCATGAGTATTGCATCTAACTTCGTATACGAGCAGCATTCATATTTGAAAACTCCACTTTAATGCACTGTTTTAACATTTCAGCTTCCACCCAACAATAAAATGGTTTGATAAGCAAGACGCTGTTGTTGTAAAGGTAAAATTGCAAAATATTAGTAATTACGACTGCAGGATTTTTGAACAGAGGATCGCTTTCAGGTAGATTGATTTGTATGGTCAAAATCTTTTCGAAGCACGGTTTTATCGCTTTTTGACAAACACATATTTTAACATTTGTGCAGCGCTTCGGCAAACGGCAAATTTTATTTGGCCAATATGGAGCTGCAGAGAAGCATCCTCAGAGAGAAATCAACGTGCGTCCTTAAGGGCGACGAGCCCACCATACTCCTTGTAAAAGTGAAGAAGGAACCTTGGTGCAACTTGCTAAAAGAGAAAGTGAGTTGTAAATAGTAAAAGAGAGAGAGAGAGATTGTTCCTAAAGCATTTGCATGGTGTAATGAGGCATTTAAATTTGCCAACAGAACCATCATGTATCGTTTGACTTTGATTACTTGGATGATAATGAGGAAAGAAGCCCATTCTGTATAGGTAAGCAGTTCATTGTTTTATGTGCAGTATCTTCACGTCTAAAGGGATGGGAAGCCCTTCTGTATTTTTTGCAAACTCTTCTGGGGAAGACAGGTATCCACATTTCATTTTACCACACTGGAGATGGAGATACAGGTAATCCTCAACTTACGCCCACAATTGAGCCCAAATTTCTGTTTGCTAAGCAAGACAGTGAAGTGAATATATCCCATTTTGCAACCTTTTTGCAACCAATCCAAATTTTGATCACATGACTACGGGGTGCTTTAAAGATCCTAAATATGAAAACCTGCCATAACTCGATTTTTTTCAGTGCCGTTGTAAGTTGAACGATCACTTAACAAAAGGTAAGTTGAGAATGGCCTGTAATTAGATCGGATAGGTCTCTTCCATGAGCCTCTGTATCTTGCCCATAGAAGTCAATCGAGTCACAGGCCAATTTATGCTTGCATAGCACTAATGCAGGGATCTGTTTGCAGATTATACTGTGTATTTCATGGTAAAGTTGGAAACTGGCTTATAAATGTATTCTTAAAAAGTCTGTATTCATACATTTGTATAACAACTCTGTGATTTTCTCTATCAGCATCAAGTCCTAAGAAAGTGTATCAGATTCCTATAGGGGTGTGCGAAGAAGAAGAGGAGGAGGAAGAAGAATCTTCCAAAGACAGTGATTCAGAGAGTGATTTATCCTCTTGTTAATTATATCTTGGCCTTTAGTCTTTGATCCCCTACAAGGTTAAAGGATCTAAAATAGATAGTACAAAACCCCTCACCTGTGCATCGGATGCCTTCTTCATAGTGATACAGTCTCAGCATTTTATTAAAAATGTTGACAATGGGACTTCTGTGGGGTGCCACATTTGCTGTTTATTGACAGTTATAATTCTAAGCATGCTCGCTGCAAATGAATCTTAACAACTTTGAGTGAAATTTAATTTGATAAACAAGTTGATAATTACATCAAATTTAACAATTAGACCAGGACAGGTACAGTATTGAAAATTGCTTTTCAGTTGCAATTATACCAAAATACTTCACAAAGAAGCATGTTTGGTTTTTTGTTTTTGTTTTTTGGTTTTTTTAAAAAAATACAATAAAATCTGAGTTTTGTGTTTTGTAATGCTATAAGGTGCTAACAGGATAGGCTGATCATTTATTGTAACTCGGTTCTTAAGGAATGTAAAATGGGTAATGCTAATTCAGTCTAGTTGCTATGATGAGATAATTTACCTTTACCTTTGTGAGAGGTAAAGCAGTAATATAACATTACAAACGAATAACTTTTGGTTCTTTTTTCACAATAGTTTCAAATACACAAAGTTTTGTATATTTGTTTAGGAAAATGTTCAGATACCTGGTTTTGCTTTCAGGTGTTTAGCTTTGTTGTGGCATTGCAATATATCAGCTGGGTCAACCAAAACATCACATATTTCTTCCTTGAGCAGAAGAAAATAAAAGCATATCACGTATCATATAATTTATTGGAAAATCTGAATACAGAAAACCTGTAATTATAGATGCAACTTACACAGAATAGGAAGTTTTGCAAAAGGTTATTGACAGTGTGTTTCTCAACCCCAGCAATTTTAAGATGTATGGACTTCAACTCCCAAAATTCCTCAGCCAGCAAAGTTATAAAGGTTGAGAAATTGTGTTAGAATATACAAGCTAGTTCTCTGAAAATCTATAGTTACTGTACAATCCAATTGTTCTACTTCTGTAGCTGTGCAAAGTTTATCGAAACAACAAAGGAAGCACAAGTCTACAAACAACCTAAGTTTATAATTTTGCATTCAGATAAATCCGATACTTGGCCCTTCTCTGAATTAATATCGGTCCTGTTAACCGTTAGTTGTCTTTCTGAGAAAAAAAAAGTGTTCATTAAAATTTAAAATGATTAACCTCTGTTTTGTAAAATCTTTTATTATTTGTGGCTTGAAACTACTATAGAGTCAAAATAGTCCCAGAGGCTAATATTGAAACTGCAACCTTTAGGGAACAGTTCTGAAAGAGAGTGTCTTGGATTTTATAAAAGCCCCTGAGTAATTTTCAAAAATTAATATTCAATAACGGTAAAAAGTCTGTGGTTCCAGCTATGATATGGCCCTGGATTCTCCCATACTTGGTATTTTCTAAAAAGAAGATGATACTGTTCGTGCATGTTTGGAGGAGTGACATCCTAACCCTAACAGATTTTCAAAATTGCAGTAATAAATCTCACCAGTCTTTTTTAAATGCTACAAACTCCTTTGTTATCTTTCAATTGTAGTTTGATAATTAGATTTTGGGGTGCGATGCGGTTGTCCTCGTTTCTTAAACATCCAACACTGAAAAGTCCAGAAGGTAACACTCTGCATCAACCTCATAGTTAAAGCTCCCCAGGAATGAAAATTAACAGGCTTGGATGTCACCGGAGGAAAAGTGTAGACAATTCCTGTCTAGGCTGTGAGGATTAAGACCTCATGCCAGGCCAATAAACTCCTATTATCCCACCCACTGATCTTGCAAAATGCTTTTAATACAGAGAAAGCATTGCACTGTCTCAAGCTCTCTTGAGGCCAAGGATAGACTTGTTGACTTCCTCAGGTTTTAGCGGTAAACATCCCTATCCTTCTTGCTTCTCCTTGACATTTGGATATGGCTCTCTAGCCTACTTGATGCAGGAGTTGGCCTCTTCTGTTGTGTTGGTTAACAGGTAGCTCAGACACATTGTCCTATGAGATTGCCCAAAAGGTAATTCTCAGTTGTTAAATGCTTTTCATTGTGAAATTTAGTAGTGGAAACTCCCCGTTTCCATTCTTGATTTTCCCAAGCTTGGCTATAAATCTTTAAACCATAACAGATGCGAAAAATATCCCGCTTCCTCAATAAGTCAGGGTAAATATGAAAAAAAAAAATCTTTGTTAAGATCTTTGCCATGTCATACATGTTGTAAGATCTTTGCTGTCTCGTGCATATTCCGTAAACCACCAGCCCTAAATTTTGCTTGGGCAAAATGGAACTAGTTTGAAGATTCTGTTTCTGCCCTGTTTCAGAAGGAAAAATAGAATCTTTTTTTCATTCAATAATTTCTTCCGATGGAACGACTTCCAGCAGCATCTGAAGATACATGGTGATAGGCTCTGAAATACAGAGGTTATCAGAGTTAAAGATACTCTATTACTTTAATATTTTCTCTTTTTCTGGAGACGTTTCCAATCAGGGTTGACTGCATGAACCTGGTTGTGATCAAGCTAACAAGATCCATTTAGAGATCTCTTCACAAATCCTTGTGTCCTCAGCATTCTACATTAACGGTATATTGCTGTCTGATGTTAGCAGAGGGTAAATGCTGAACTGAAGTCATCTTAAACTAAAACTCAGTGTAGTTTTCTTCCCAACTTCACTGTCTGCTTCACTGTCTGACCACCCCCCAATAAAACCACCCCATTAGTAGAGAAGCCGTTTTTTCCACTGAAATTCAATTCCATGGCATGCTTTTCAATTCAGCAAAGCCTTTAACTTAAGAAAATTAAGTCCCGATTTAGCATAGTAACTAACCAGCAGAGGCCTAAAGAGGCATCCTTGCCTGGTATTTCAGGGGCACAATTCTTGATCTTTGATACATGTGAAGGAATACTTTAGGAAGCCGTCATCAAAAAGAACAAATGGGACTTTTATCACTTCACATATCCAACTTTTCAAATTCCATTCTGACAAGACAAACATCTGTAAGCAGGCACCCACAAGCGCCACCAGTTTAAAAATAAGGAAAGTCTTCAAAAACATTCTGAAGGAAGAAGTTGGAATTCAATTTTTTTTTTTCCTATTCTAGGAAAGAGATAAAAGGGTTGACCTAAGATTTCTATGATGCTTTAAAAGGGGCAGCTGTGTACCGATAAAAGGCCGAGGTTGAAATGAGTCTTTGGTGCTCTTTCAGTTTGGTTGTTTTTTGTTTACAAATGTTTTGTTATCCAAACTAGGTAACATCATCAGCGCATAAATGAAGTTTCAGGGAAAGAGAATGAGCTGGCAATTGAATGCGAAATCCACCTTCATTTGGATTTCAGAACTTAGCAGACTTGCTAATGATTCCCCAGCGGCTTCCATTTGCAATAAAGTTCAGTGAGGTTATTTATAAAACCTCCATTCTTGGGTAGTTCCAAAGCTGAATTAAGTTTCATTGCTTTATTGATGCTCTGCTTTGCTCAATTCCATTCACCCCTATCACCTCTTTTAATGAATATTTTAAGGACTGCATTCGTTCTATTGCTTCCTTGGGAACAGGAAAATGGGCTAAACTTTTCTTTCTTCTTTTTAGAAAAATCTGTCTTCCATTTAAGGTGGAAACCATCCGCATAAAACCACGCACTTACCTGAGATTTTTTGAGCCCAGCCAAACTTATAATGGATGAAAAGAACGTAAAAAATAAGTCCGCTAAAAATAAATAGGACACAGTACAAATATGGAAGCTCAGGCTGACTGATAATAGGTGCCAGAACCAGAAAGATGGCCACTAGCACCACAACAAAAGGGATGATCAGTGGTATCTGTAGGAGAAAGCAAAAATATTGTTAGGGAACTGGACGTAATTTGGCAAAGCTTGCTTGCACGGGAAGGCGAGGAATGGTGGCCCAATGAAACACTTTTCTGGGCTGATACTTACTCTGATAGGCCTTTCCAGATCTTTTCTGGTGTAGCGCATAACGATCAGTCCCAAGATAGTTAAGCCATAGAAGAACCAGACTGCAAAGCTGAAGTAGTTAATGAGGGTATCGATGTCTCCTGGGAGGACATAAAAAAATGCTACTGCACCCTGAAAAAACGGAAGAAAACAGGAAGATGTGTGACAGGAAGGAGCTGCCGAGAAAATGCAGGCTTCACGGTCTTGGAGAAGAGACACAAATGCAGTGGCCAGTTTTTAATTCCACGTGTTCCATTCACAGCTTAATGGCCACAATCGAGGTCAATCAAAATTTATGTTGCTAAGCGAGATACTGGCTAAGTGAGTTTTGCCACCTTCCTCATCACATTCGTTAAGTGAATTGCAGTTCTTCAATGAGAAGCACCGTTGTTAAGTGAATCTTGTCAGAAGGTCGCAAAAGGGAATCATATGACTCCAGGACACTGCAACCATCACAATGTGAGTTGGTTGTCAAGCATCCAAATGTTAATCACATGACTGCAACGGTCATAAGTGCGAAAAATGGCCATAAGTCAATTTTTTTCAGTGCTGTTGTAACTTCAGTCACTAAATGAACTGTTCTAAGTTGAGGACTACCTGTCTTATTTTCAGGGAAGCATCAGCTGTAACAGACACGATTAGTTATGAAAGATCGACTCTTAAAACTGTTTTCCAACATGCAGTTCTCTTTGCTATTTCTTAATACATGATCGCTAGAGAGATCTCTAGAAGAATAAGAATGAATATGAATAAGGAATAGTGTGAGATTTCAAGGATCCTTCAAGAAAATGTGTCTGAAATGGAATAGGGTTGGTCTAGGACAGTGGTCGGAGGTTGGTTTAGAAGAGTGGTCGCCAACCAGTGGGCCAGGGACCACTGGTGGTCCACGAGAAAATTTTGGTGGTCCACAGAATCACCCCTAAAGCAATCCAGGCTGCGTGGGAACACAAGGCTTGGGTCGCATTGTGAACAACACGAGGTAGTGAGGGGAGGTGGGAGAAAGGGCAGAGAGGGGGGAACTTGCCCCATGCGCCTTGCCTGGCCATCGGGCTGCTTCTTTCCGCTTCATTCTTTTGCTTTTGGCTGCCTGCAAGGAAAGCAGCAAAAGTCTTTCATTCTCTCCCCCAAACTCTGCCCTGCAAGGCTTCCTGCTCCAAGAGGCTGCGCCAGCACAACAAGTCTCACAAAGACTCATTTCTGGCGGAGTTTGGGCGAGAGAAAGAAAGGCTTCTGCTGCTTTCCTTGCATGAAGACAAAAGTCTCTCCCCCCCCCCCCCCTGAGAACGCAGCTGGAGACGGTATCTTGCAATCCCAAATAAAGAATGATCGATCGGTAGGAAAACGGGGTTGGGGAACTTTCCTGCAGACTTTTGGGGGGATTTTCCCAGGGTCCCTGGTCCATGGGATTTAAAATTATGAGTTTGGTGGTCCCTGAGGTCCAAAAGGTTGGCGACCCCTGCTATAGAAGACCTCCAAAGTCCCCTGCTATAGAAGACCTCCAAACTCATTGTTCTATTAAAATTAAATTATAGAGCCAAATTTGATAAGATTTTTTTAATTTGAAGCTGGAAACTTTTATTTTGCTATCTGAGATATTATACTTACATAAAATATAACTGAAGGTGCCGGTGTTAAACGTTTAACGCTGATGTAGGATAAAACCTTTAACATGTGCCCTTCACGTCCTGCGACGTAAGCAAGCCTAGAAAAATCAAAGTGTGATATTCTCTAGTTTAGTAATGCCACACCTGCAAGAAAACAACCAAGCTCTGAATACAGGTAGTCCTCGAGTCACGACCACAATTGAGCCCAAAATGTATTCTGCTAAGGGAAACATTTGCGAAGTGAGTTACGACTTTTCTTGCCACGATTGTTAAACGAATCACTGCACTTGCTAAGTTAGTAAGCCGGTTGTTAAGTGAATCTAGCTTCCCCATTGACTTTGCTTGTCAGAAGGTCACAAAAGGGGATCACACACACACCCCGGACACTGCAATACCGTCATAAATATGAGCCGGTGGCCAAGCAACCTGAATTTTGATCAGGTGACCATGGGGATGTTGCAATTATCCTGTGAAAAACGCTCGTAAGTCACTTTTTTCATCGCCATCGTAACTTTGAATGGTCACTAAATGAACCATTAAGTTGAAGACTTAATGGGACAAAAGGCTATTCCGTTGCATCGAAGATCAATCTGTTACAATGTCAACAGTTTTGTAAAAAAAGAAAGAAAGACAGAAAAAGGCTTCAGGGCAGTGTTGCTTGACACGGAAAGGTAAGAAAAGCTGCCCGAGCTGAACAAAATGTTCTCTTCTAGCTATCTATATTCATGCTCGGAAAGAACAAAAAAAAAAGTCAATGCAGCAAGAACACATCATGATTCTCAGAACATTTGGTATGCAACATTTAAGATTTGAAGGGAGGAACAGAAAAATGGCATTTGGTTTGATCAAAGCAGTTGACAATGAATCTCGCATCTCCAATGCATTAAGATCTTTTATTTTATTTTATTTGGCTCCTTCAAGGCAGTGTTGACTCCTGGCAATCACCTGGACAAGTCTCTGCTGTTTTCTTGGCAAGATTGTGAAAACCAAAAATGCCACTACTTCCTTTTTAGGGCTGAAAGAAAGTGTCTGACCCAAGGCCATGGTTTGTGCCTAGGGTAGGACTGTAACTCATGATCCTTTAGTTTCTAGCCTGATGCCTTAACCATCACACCAAACTGATTCTCCAACTAGCCTGTGCTACAATAAACAAGAGTGAAAAAGTCAGATTTAAGCTTCTTTGGCTGATACCCTCTCCCCCCCCAAATTTTCCCCTAGGAACCGAACAAAATATAAAAGACTATTTTTTTTTTAGTCATCCTAGTGTACCAGGACCCTTTTACCAGGAGCATTGGTGAGGTATGAACTGATGTTGCCAAGTCCTCCTTCGCACCATTAAATTTCCACAATTCTTTAAGAAAATGCTGCAACAGCAGTTGCCATGTCTTAAAAACTATCGCATGAATTAAAGGAGACACCCAAGAAGCACAGAACCACTCCATTGAGAAACGAGACTGCTAATCGACCGTAAAATTTGTCTCTAGCTTTGCGGTCTGACCCCAAAATTCTCTCCTCACTCGCTACAGAAAAATCACCAAAAGACGCCTTTTTCCATCATGGATGGGATTTCAGCATCAGCCTGACAGAAAATAGTTCTTGTGCTTGGATGGGGGCTGCGGATTTTTTAAAAAGCAGCGCCGATGAATGAAATCCAGACAGGGAGGAAAGCCAGGAATATTTCAAATTCAATCTCTATAGATTT